GAGACTTTTGAAGAATGGAATCAGAAAATAGTAGCCACAATATCAACAATGTCAGTAATGACATCTATTTCTATGGATAGAATATGTCCAAAAGTTGCTATTGAAGAAATGACAAATGTAGAACAAGATAGAGATGGTATCAAAAGTGGATTTACAACTGACAGGCCAAGAGAATGACTTAGAGAAGGATGTTTCACTGGATCTACAAAAGGAACTGGTTGAAGTTTCAAAATTTAAAAGGGAAATACAAGTGGCAAACCAAGAGAATGATCTGGATATTTTTTTCCTACTGGATTTACAAAAGAGGCTTGTTAAAGCCTTGAAGAACTCTGTGCAATGGGACAAAGAAGACATGAAGAGAAATCAAATCCTATGACAATATTTGAATGAACTAAAGATTGAGACTGTTAGAAGTAAATGGAAGGAATATGAAGTTGGTTTATTTGGTCAAGATTAAAATAAGATCTGTTGTTACTTCTGGCAACCCTTTATGGACTTTCTGCTGATACCAGGACTGAAAATTTATGGATTTGCCTATAGATAAAGGAGGGGATATGGGAAGAGATAAGTGTTTGTAACCTTAGAGGGGGTGAAGAGTTATGTTTGTTTATACTTCTTGTGATAAAGGTTGAAAGTCACTTCTTTATATATTTTTTTCCTCTTTCTTTATTATACACTCATACCTCATTTTATTGCACTTCGCAGATATTGTGTTTTTACAAATTGAGGATTTGTGGCAACCCTGCATCAAGCAAGTCTATCAGATGATGAGTAGCATTTTTAGCAATAAAATATTTTTTTAATTAAGGTATGTACATTGTTTTGTAGACATAATGCTATTCCACACTTAATAGATTACAATATAGTGTAAACATTACTTTTATATGCACTGTGAAACCAAAAAAAAAAAATTGTGTGACTCGCTTTATTGCAATGTTTGCTTTACTGCAGTGGTCTGGAACCGAACCTACAATTTCTCCAAGGTATGCCTGTATTCTTACTTTTCTCTTCTCTCTTTTTTCCCCTTTTTTCTTTCGCTTTTTACTCCTTTCTATTCTCTTTTCTTTCTTTAAGTTTAGTTTGTATTAGATTTTACTATTATAATCAAAATTCTGTATTCTTACTTTTCTCTTCTCTCTTTTTTCCCCTTTTTTCTTTCGCTTTTTACTCCTTTCTATTCTCTTTTCTTTCTTTAAGTTTAGTTTGTATTAGATTTTACTATTATAATCAAAATTCTTAATAAAAATTATATGTGGGGAAAAAAACATGTTTCGGATGGGATTACACTCTTCTGGAAGAGTCAGGTTTCCAGCTGGAGGGTGTGTTTGGATTTTGAAATAGGTTGTGCTGAGCAAGAGTGACTGGTCCAGAGTCACCCAGTTAGTTCTATAGGTTAGTGGGACTTGAAACTGGGCCCCCTCCCAGTCCTATACCATGCTGGTACAGCAAACAAAGACTTTAGTGGGTAAAAGAGATCAAGTGAAACCTAATATGTCGTGTTTCTTTTCATTGCCAGTTTCCTTAGGGAACAATTAAAAATGCTGGTGATCACTTTAAAGTCCCAATTGCCTAGGATGCTGAATACTGATGGGGTCAGTCTCCTTGATACTAATCTGCTTGCTTACTTAAATCAAGAGTTTTTCACTATGTTCTAATTATGATGCAGACACATTTGATGATATAAGAGGTGAAAACGTACTTCTTCTGCAAGGTATACTGGCACTTTTGTTATATACTTTTTGCTTCTTGGTAAAGTCATTTCATTTCAATTTCTGTTTTTAATGTTGTATTGTTTATCCCCTGCCACTCTATTTATTATTATTATTATTCATAGCTTTAAATTGCATTTTAAAATTGTCAGCTGTTCTGGGTAGTGTACTCAACTGGAAAGATACAGATTTATATTTATATTTAAAAAAAAAAAGAAATTCAGAAATATAATTGTCTATCTTCCTCCATCCACCCAGCTCTGTAGTGAACTTCGGTAGCCCCTTTCCAGGCTGAATTTCCCATGGTGTCATCTTATTTAATTATATATAGCTTAATAAATGCTAAACTCCACAAAAGGTTTTCAGCAGAATATGAGAGTTCATGCTTTGGTCCCTTGGTGAAAAAGCTCATGAATAATGACACATGGCTGCTACAATCAGTTCAGAAGGGGGCAAGAGCTCCTATTCCAGTTCTATTTAACTGGAGGAAGTCAGCAAGGGACTAAGGTTTAGCTATAGTTCTGAGTTGTTATACATGAAATATCTTTTTTTTTTTTTTAACCTTCCTCCCAAGTCTGCCTGGCCTTTGAGCAGGAAGAAATATACTGAGAACAGAGGCAATGCAATGTTGAAGAAACAAAGCTTCATGGACAATGTATGAAAAGTGTGCAGGGCTAAAATATTTCAATACACACATCATTCATGCTTCTTGAAAAGTGTGGAACCCTATAACTGGGGGTTTTAGGAGATAAAGGAGGTGAGTTTAGTAACCTGCTTTCCAAAGTAGTAAGGAACAGATTGTTCAGATGCAGTCAATAAAAAGCCGTTGTAGATGTGAACCTCTGCAAAAGAGATAAATAGGGCTCCTATAATATCAGTAGGTCCTCTCTGACATCAGTGTACTTATCCATCTGATGGGGTTTCTTCCTGTCAAGCAACAGTGCCAATAAGATCTACAATGGCTTTTTATAAGCCTATCTTTTTGTGTCATATGTACACAAAACTTCAATTTGCATATTTGCGCTCTACATGGGGCTACACTTGAAGAGTATCCAGAAGCTACAGCTGGTGCAGAATGTGGCGGCGTGGACAGTTCTGAATGCCCCTAGGAGGGCACATATAACACCGCTGTTACATGAGCTGCATTGGTTGCCAATTTGCTTCCAGGTCCAATTCAAGGGGTT